AAGGTAAATTCAAACAGCGTTAAACTGTATTTTACATGCGTTTTTACCGTAGGCTAGTAGCCTGGAACAAAAACTGACGATGTAATGAGGTAAAAAAGGTATGTGCGTTCAATACGAGATTATGTTTTGATGAAAATTTGAATTCTAAAGTATTTTTATTTTTGTAGTGATGGTGTTGCTTACATGTATATGACATGTATTGAATAGTTTAAAATACTAAAATGAACATGTATATACATTTTTAACAAAAATATACCTTCAGCGGTGGATCCAAGATCTCGTGATGAGTTGTGGTACAGTATTTTCAGAATAAACCGTCCAATTTTATGATATACTTGCCGACTGAGACAGCCAATAAATTCAATCTAATTCAGTTTCTGTTAATGAAAATTTTGTTTTAAACAAAGACAAAACCAATGTTGTGAAGCCTAGTTGAATTGAATATCACCAACAAAAGCGAAGCAGAATATTTTTCTTTTTCGAGTTTGAATTTCACGTGAACTTTGAAGCTAGCGATGAGTGGAGATTTGGCAACATGTTTCTTTTAAAAACAATTATGCATAAAACATTAAGCAGTATTTGTTTTGTGTTTGGGTATTAGGGTAGTATTTCAAGCCACAACTGAGCGACAAGCGGGGAAGCTGTTTATTTACTTTAAATATGTTAAGACGTTGGAGAGGAAAATATTTGCTTATTCTACACAAATAGACTTGCATATTACTGATTTAAAGTTTAAAAAATAAATCATGAAGTATGTGGGGCCACTTTCATTTCCGTATCCCGATTTCAGCCGACATCGAAAGCAATATTTCAACAAGTACTTATTGTAATGGAGAACCATTACAGACGTCCCACGACTGCCCCCATAGTCACAAAGATGCATCAGAAAAGGATCGCAATGACATTTACACCAACAATGTACATACTAAATTTGAGTATTGAACAATTTCTAAATTGCGACCAATCTTTTAATCAAAATCGAATATCTAAATTTCAACCAATCAGAAGCCTTTGTTTAGTTGATGTGTGGTTGCTAGGGTAACGACAGCTATGTCATTAAATGCGCAGTCCCCTTATACCATATATCTTAATTTTCATAAAAATCGAACAATATCTAAATGTCGACCAACCAGGAGCCTTTGTGTGGTTGCTGTGTGGTTACTATAGCAACGAAACATATGCGGTGCAATCCGCAGTCCCCAAATACTCCTATATACCAATTTTCATCAAAATTGAACAATAACTAAATTTCGACCAATCAGAAGCCTACGTGTGGATGCTTTGTGATTGCTATGGCAACGAAACATATGCAATTGAATTTTCAGTCCCCTCATACCCCTTTATACCAATTTTCATCGAAATGGAACAATATCGTAATGTCGACATTCAGAAGCCTCCCTCCCTGACTACATATGCCCATTATTAATCCTGTGAAGTTTAATCAAGATATAACTTGCAGTTTTCGAAAAAAAGGTTGGACAAGTTCACGGTGGAAGAAGAAGAAGAAGAAGAAGAAGAAGAAGAAGAAAGAATAACAATAATAACAGAGTACTAATTGTAATGGGGGACCATAACAGAAGTCCCCCAAACTGTCCCCATAGTCACAAAGTTTGGTTTGGTTTGGTTTAGTATTGTCGTTTAAGGACGGCCTCCCCTGTGTGCAAGATGCATGCGTGTAGTGTATGCGTGTGTGTTTTGGGAGGCAGTGATATGTTCGTGTTTGTCTCCTTGTGACAGCGCGGAACTGATGCCGACTTTATAGCGCTACCTCACTGAAACATACTGCCGAGGACACCCAGCAGGACACCCCACCCGGTCACATTATACTGACAACGAACTAACCAGTCGTCCCAATCCTAAATTGCTGAGCGTTAAGCAGGAGTAGAACTACGTGCTCTCATACTACATCAAACTGTGATGCACAACTTGGTAAAACTTTAACTTTTAGACGTTGATATGTGGATATGTTAGTCAATTGGGTATTAAGTAGGATAAATACAAGCGATTTGTTTGCAGATTTTAGAACACTGCAGTAGATAACATTGCAAATTTTTTAACTGGCTCTTACGTAATACCTATTTCTTTTGTTAAAAAGTCAAGTAATATATCCAGGTTTCATTCTGTGTAGCCGCTATTCTGTAAACATATCTTATTTACGTCCCCGCCCTATCAGAATCGTCCGCCAATGTCACTTTTTACGTATGAAGTGATTTGTCTTTTTCCTGTCCTCAACTTAAATTCGTCGAGAATATGTTTTAAGTAAATAGTTCATGCCAAGAATCGCACTGTCAGACACACTCGTTCATTGAAGCAAATCAGCAATAGATAGGAAGGGTGTAGTTCCTTAACCCTAGCTACTGTTATATGGACCAGTGATCCAAACGTGCCATGCTGACTTCACATGTACCACGTGACCTGTCGGCTCATTAACATTCTTGCCAGGAGCGGTCACCTTTCATTGCCTATGTCTTGGTGACAGGACACTTCTGAACGCTTGTTGGTTGATCATTTGGAACTTATTTACGTATATTATAGGTTTCGTTTGTTTTTACCAAATATAACATTTCTTGGCGAAAATTCTTTGACATGTAAGAAGAACAAGTACGCCCCGAAGTTTATACTGTAAGAAAAATAGTTTGTTTAGTTATGGCTGTTTTAAGATTTTGACCTATGACGTAATGGCGGCCATATTGGTTTTTGACGTACATGCAAATGTTGCAGTGGTACCTTGTATTCAGGCAATATAACATGTCAAAAGATTATTGAAATACATTTAGTAATTTAAAAGAAAATAAGGGAACAAGATTTTGTGAAGGAGAAGAACAAAAAAACAAACAAAAACAATGGTGAAAAGCCCTAATTAAAATTTAAGTCTTTGGTATAAACCACTTTGTTTGTAAAATATATTTTTTTGCCTTTGTTTTACTTCCCTATCATTAATAGTGTTGATTGTTTCGGGCTAGTATGTATGAACAATACTTCCTAAGAACAAAAAGTCTATAGTACCAATGACAATACCAGTATGATAAACATACATGTATGTATTTTTATATAAACTATGCATTGTTAAAACATTTAAAAGTTCGTATGTCATACTTGAGATATTTATGTGGGCTAAACATTTATCGAAATTTAGAGTCTAGTCATAAGAAAAAAACAGACATATGTAAGATGATGTAACATTCTCGATATTTTGTAAAATGGTATTCCGAAAAGGTTATGGTAGTGCTGATCAGTTGCCGACTAAATTGTGCTATCTCACTGAAATACCAAGCTGAAGGCACCAAGCACAGCATCCCGCCCGGTCGCATTATACTTTGCTACCATTACCCTAAACACTGAAAAGAATAAGTACTACAACGTGTAAGGACAGAACCCAATGTCTCCCCACCGTGGCAGACATTAAAGACAAAAATGAGTTGTTGCCTAGGAAGACAAAGGTAGTAAAAGATAGAGAGAAATACAAAGATTCCAAACATACAATGGGTGCAGCAGATTTATATTGGTCGCCTTTGTGTCCCCAAGTAGATATCTGCGACACCACAAGGTGGTAAATACACCCAACATATCCTGCCTTCAGCACACATACACAACACACATGGAGGCACGTCTTCAAATGACCTTAGCTGTTGATAGGACGTCAAACGAGGTACAACCAACCAACCAACTTGTCAAAGGCCCTGTCAGAGATTGAAAGCTCGGTTGCAGTATGATCGATTCAGGCATATTTCTCTTTTGAAAAAAGTTAAATGTTGTGTTTACTGTACCTTCAGTTTCCATGGAAACGGGATATGCAGCGTTCTTTTAGTAGCCTATGATTACGAGACTAATCCAATCAACATATTTAAGTTTTAGTTATTCGCTGGACCAGACAAAAATCTCTTTTAATTCTTTTGTTTTGATCTTTTTCCTGCATTTCTCAAATCAATAAAACTATAATTTATTGTAAATGAGAAGAAAACAATTTAAATACAATTTCTAGAATATTTAATCGTCAATTAACTCTGATCAAACTATCAACAAAAAAAACTTATCAACCCAAAAACCGGGACGGGCGATATTCATTAACATGTCATTAAACGATAGTTTATTTCTCCTGAATAAATAGTCCCTGCAGGTAGGAGCGTTAAAATTGTACCTTCTGCCCCCATTGCTTGATCGTAAGAGGTAACTGAATTGGGTCTTATCTTTTCTATTCTTTCTAAACAACTTTCTTCCTAAAGTTTCCCTTGACAATGCCTCAATGGTGGACTTTAGTTTAGCGTTCGTCCCTGTAAGGAAGCCTTTGTTTTTGTCCCCTGGCCGAGACATACCAGAGTCTGTAAACATGATAGTTTCTACTCCTGCTTAACGCTCAGCAATTTAGGAGTGGGACGACTGGTTCACCCGTTGTCAGTATAATGTGACCGGGTGGGCTGTCCTGCTAGGTGTCTTCGGCAGTATGTGTCAGTGAGGTAGCACTATAAAGTCGGCATCAGTTCCGTGCTATCACAAGGAGACAAACACGAACATATTGAAGCATCCCAAAACACACACCCATACATCTTGCACACAAGGGAGGCCCTCCTGAAGGGATTCTTCATTCATTGAAATATAAATTTGCCTTCATCACTATAGTTAATAAAAGCTGGTTGGATAGCAAAAGCATTTCTGTACATTGCACTACGAATATTGGAATAAAATTCACACTCACATAAAAAATGTATCTCAGATTCTACTGAATTACAGTGACAAAATGTATATGTCCGCTCATTTGATGGTGTAACAGGTCTATTGTAGCGTTCCGTGTCAATATGGAGAGGTAGGCTACCACATCTTCATTTTTGCTAAAACACCTCTGTGGGCTCTAGGTACAAAACTGGTTACATAACGTTCCGGTTTCAGTTCTTTCTTAAATAAGCGATAAGATTGATCATCTTGCATTACTGACTTAGTAGCATTCATAGAACTGTTTATCAAATGTTCTACATAGTATTTCTGTGCAATTTAAAATGCTTTCTTTTCCCATGCTCTCCGTTTCTTTTAGACCATTAATAACATTTATACAGAAGTCTGTCATCATTAATTGATTTAGTTTACACAACAATCGTTATACTTTTGACATGTTGCTTAGCAAAGCAGGACATCCATATCATTTCGCCCCTCTTATCGATGTTGGAAGTATTCCTCATGACAACAAAATGTATTCGCATTGCTCTATTCTGTATATTATTTACCAAATAGCAAAATACTGCATGCTTAAAAAACATAAATGTCTATTGTCGCTATGACATTGTTGTAGTACAATTGTTGAGGAGAGGGCTTTTATAAGTTGTCATAATTTGTGCCCAATCTTCTTGCTTGAATTTAGAAGCAATAAAATGTTTAAACTAAGTGAAACAAAAACGATCCTCAAACTGATTCGTACCGCTTTGTGAACAGAGTAAGATGAACCACCAGAGTTTATAAATTAGGACGTGATAACTCCCAGGGCTCTTCCCGATGACTTTGAAAGTTCACGAACCGCCAATTTCAAATATAAGTGTTCATCAAGCCAAATTCCTAATACATGTATTTGTACTCAACTATATTTAATACTTTTCCGACACAATGAAAAACAATCTGTGTAGAGTCTTTTGAATTTGGACCGAAGTGTATGACTTTGGTCTTATCTTGGTTAATAGACAGTCGCCATTTACGACACCAGTTTGTAACTATATTTTACAGTTCTTGTAGTTTTGTAGGATCGGACGCTTAATGTCATCACATCAATGTATATGCCAAGTTCTGAATCTCGTAGTTCGTTGATCAAATCATTAATGTAAATGGAAAAGGGCTGGGGACGTCAAGCACCCCTGTTTTTCACAGAATATATCACAGAACCAAAAAAGCATCTACATTCCTATTTCCTATTGTAAATCGAACAAATTTCTAATACCAGCCACTCACAAGATGGCCGTTTATCGTATCAATTGCAGACAGAAAGCATGGCATGTGTTGTCCATCAAAGTTCCTGACAGGTGGAGGCGTTCATACAATTTTACACCTACATAGGACCGCGTGACGTTCTTCATCAGTCCAAGTCTCCTCTAGACGGAGTCCAGCTTTCTCGACAATATTCTGTAGCTGTTGTAACGTGTATTTGCAACTAATTCCAGCGCCTTCATGCAAATAAAGCCGTTCCCCTTTCTCCATCCTCAAATCGATGCCAAGTCCAGCTGTAGGAATTTTTTTTTATTCTTTATGATTTTCAATATTAAATCTTTATGTCAGTATAAATGAACATTTTAATATCATTAATAATTATCGATATTAAACTTCAACCGCGGTACATTAGCTCTACTAATAAAACATATTGTCCCTCATATCAATGTTAAGATCATTCTTTTGTTTTGATTTTACATATACTTGTATTTTCGTTTTTACTTGGTTGACACCAACATATCATTTGTACTTGGTTGACACCGAAATAGCATCTCGCATCTGACAAATTAGTACTAACGGATGCACCATCACATAAGCCTGGGATAAGGTTGGCCTACTTAGTGTGTCACGTACGATATCACTATTAACGAAAAACAGTACTTACGTATAGGGTAAAGAACAGCGCCTTTAGCCGTAACATAGCCCGTCACGTAGCTCATGTACTTGGAACTGCTGTTCTGTATAAAATCGGCCTCATATTTGAACACGTCCATATCTATCTGACTGCCTTCCTCCTTGTTCAACCGTGTAATACCATTTTGTCTGAACTTCTGTTGAAAACCTGCCCAACAATTGGTTTTTATATTTGAGGAATATGTTTCCCTTATGGTGACCAATATGCGCTGATTATTAAACTGGACGATTCGGATAAATTTGCGAAGCATTTTATAAAAACAAATCCGCAATAATCATTTTGATCTGACAAATTCGTTGCTTTGATTTTCACAGCTGAATCAATTGCAATCGGGCTTTGGATGAAATAACAATAAAAAAAAGAAAGAGCTATAATCTGCTCTGTTAAATTGATAGTACAGTAATATTATTATGGGTTTCTTATCGTCTGATCAACACAAAAAGTGTCATTAGAGCCAGTAAAAAAAAATGAAATATGATAAAGGAAATGGCATCAAACGAACGAAAAGATAAAAGACAAACGTAATCTTGAAAAGTTAAAGTTGATATGGATAGTTAGATCTTTTAGAACATATTTACAACTTTAGGTAGGTTAGAAATGAAGAGACATTGACCTTTTTTAAAAGATATTTGAGATCTATATTATGAATAATTAAACTTCAAAATAATAATTTTCTCAAAATTTAAAAATGCGGGAGAAAATTAGCGATAACTATTTCATGAAATGTCCATCTGATACAACAAAGCACTGACAAAAGTAGAATACCTGCGTCATCATTATAGGCCTTTAAAACAGCTTCTCTGTTTTGTGTGATATCAGCACTGAACACAAGTCGACATTTAGCTGAAAATACAACATAGAAGATATGTACTACTACCTTTTAAGTTTAGGTAAAATAAACAATATATATCAATTTCAAATAATTTCAAGTAAATGATATTCGTAAATAAGGGCGCAAAATACCGAGCACACTGCAATACAAGCGATGATACAGTGGTTTTTAATAGAGTCATGTCATGTTTACTTCAGACCACTGAAGCGCGTCTCCTATTATATCTCAGAAAAGGTCCCTTTCATGGATGCTGATAACATAATAAATGTTAAAACGAAACATTCCAAACATTAAAGTGCTTAGGTTTGTGACTTTTGAATATGTGTTTAAACCATTGCCATTGCATGATATGATGATAATGTATAACACACGTCAGAAGTCATTATTTAAAGAACATATTTATACAGTATAACATAAACAAAAACCCTTGAGAATAGCGAAGTGTTAAATGGTTGAAGCAAATCGTGATACCTGTCATGATGGTGGATATCATTCTTAAGGTATTCACCTGGTCTTCAAACGACAGACTGATAAGGCAGCCGAAAAACAGTATCACTTTAGGGCCTTCCATATTCCTGAAATAGGTTTGAATGTCAATTTATCACTTCAAATAAATATGGAACATATCCTGTGATTTAATGATTAAGTTTACACAAGAGGCTTGCATATTCGTAATATAATGAGAAATCTTTATCGGTAAAACCACGGCACATAGTTAACCATGCATAAAAATCTGATAGTTTAACCTAATGACTTACTTCAGTTGCTCTATTCCTTTTTCGTAGTCTGCAGGTATAGGTGTTATCACAAGCGAGTCATCGTATTCCTCTGATAGGTCCTTTACTGATTTTAGCAGAAACTCTGTAAGCATTTCAAGTCAGAAACAGAGTTAATTAATGCAATGATAAATCTTCTTTTATTTGAAAATGTACCTTAATTTCACATTTTACAACTTGTAAAGTTCAGCATTATTGATAATATTTAACAGGTTGAAATATGCATGTGCAGTCACTTTAATTCATATTATAATTTTTAAATTTATCCAAAATATTAAAAGTATATTTAATATGTAACTAAATACCATATTAAGTGAAAATTGTGTTGGCATACCTTCGGAAATATCTACTGGATAATACGACAGCCCGTTTTGTCTTTGTAACAGTTCGTTGATAACAAATTTTGTTTTTTTACAATTACCGCTTCCTATGTCGATCAAGGTCAGTCCATAAGGAACGCGAGGAATGATATCCTTAAACAGACATTAAAAGTTATCTTCAGATGTTGTGAATAGACGCTCAAAACACAACATTATATAGACATTTTGTTGTCACCAGTGTGGCGTTTGTCTTTGCCTGCTTTTTGAAATCTATGAACATAAATTGGTTTACCATAGGGATACGTTATTTTTGTAAGCACTTTGAGCTGAATGTGTTCTTTAATAACCCTATAGAACTTTTGATAGGGCAAATACAGCAACATACCCTACCTGTAGCTCTCATACACACAAGCGTGCGTATATTGCCACGAGGGAGCACGTGGTCAAATGTCCTTACCTGTTAATAGGGTGTTACAAAATGAAATGAAACCAAACCAGTACGTATGTAACTCCTAATATTTCCATATTTTAATACCATGAAGCATCGGAAGGATTTTAAATATGTCGGTTTTGCTTGCGACTGGCGTATATTGTTTTGCCCAGCGGTATTTGTGATATGGTTAAGTCCTTTAGTGGGTGCTTTTCTCTCTGTGAATATCGTTCTTGAATGCTACTTTTCGTACCTCCTTAAAAGCAAGGGATGTCACAGTAGTTTTGATGATGGTTTTGCATGAAAACTTGAAAACAGATAAACATAAAATCTTTAGATTCAAGCATATTCCATTTCTTAAGTGCGGAAGCCTTTGTTATATATGGTACATGTATGACTAATTAGTAAAATATAAGTTATTTTGGTTAAGGAGTATTCGGTATAGCAGCCTATTAACAGCAAATGTCAGAGTTACATCATACCAGGTCGTATTCGACCAGCAATCTGGACTTACCTGTACATAATTTTGCAGCGTACACGTCTCACTCCTTGAGAAATAATAGCCAGGATTTTCGACGGTACATTTAAAACCAAGTTCCGACCCAGTCTCGTCGTATGAGTACCAAGAAGGGATGTACTTCGGGGTAGATGTCAGCCCTTTGACTAAAGCCTGCTTAGCGTCTTCTCCCATATTCTAATAATACACAAATTAACAATATTCATATTAGATATTCAACAATGCACCTCTATTTTTACAGCTGAAATCGGAAAAGCAATACTCTATTCTGACTATTAAAAAACGAAATTTTCACAACATTATTCTACAAAACATCGCCATTCGTACTTAGGATCTTTGTGTTTTGCCACCTGATCTTGATTTGGATACCAGGCTTCGGTATCACAAACGTACTTAAGCTGAGATTTGAGTCCGAACTCAAGAATTCAAGCTCAGCGTCCGTATTTCGTTATCACAAACTAAAAACTCAGCTCAAAGCCTCAAGCTGAGCTCAAAAAGCTGAGACTGCCCAAGAGCAGACTTAAGTTCGAAATCAAGCTCCGGAACGAAACTGTTTGCTATAAAATAGCAGGCTTGGCAAACACTCATAATGACAAGAAAATGCATTTACAATATTGATTTGTCACAATCATCCAAAGTATTGGAGACACACACAATCTGTATTGGACAATTATGCAGGTAAACCATAAATATTGTCAATTTATTTGCCATTTGTTGAAAATACAGTCGTTTTAATAAGCCGTGAAATGCGTCTGAGATGAATGGGGTCCGAATACGATAGCCCTGGGCCCGAGTGCAATTTGAAATATAAATAATCTATGCGTTATAGTTTCCAACCAAAGGACTTTAAATGAAAAACTGAGCATGTGATCTTTTAATTATGTATTTTCATGTTATTTTACTTTTTGAAAGACGATATATCGTGGCTTTTTGTGTCAAAGTCGGACCGGTACCCAAATCGGATCACTTTTTACAAAAATACTTATAAATAAATGTGTCAACAAATCAGTTATATCAATGATATAGTCTTAGAATAGATAGCCATGCACCATTTTTTGACTACAGATAATTAGTTTTTAAGTTCAAATAGCGCAAGAAAACGTAATTCAAACTCAAATGTCAATGTTTTGATTACGTTTTTAAAAAATGGCGCGTGCGACGACTAAGCACTCTGTTTTGGACTATAGGGATAAATTCACACTATAGAAATACTTTTTGTCATATAAATTCTAAAGGTCATCATAAAATGTTAATATTCTGACAAAAAAATATTCATTTGAAGCGTACGATACTGCAAAATTCAAGCCGTGATCTGATTTTGGTTCCGACATTCGCAAAAACCGGAGACGCTGATTGGTGACTTCAGAGCATTCTATAAATATCTCAAGTGAGCTCCAGGTGCTAATTTCGTTTGTGAGAACACCCATCGATATTCTATTTTTGATACAACCATAAATGAATATAATTCCTCCTCAGATTTTTCAATGATTTAATAAAATGATGGTTTGGTGATCCGATATTGGTACTGTTACCTTATGCTCCGAGATGATGTTACAATATAGACGATCTTTTGGTAAAATAACAATATTTGAATGTGTTTACATGCAATTATGGGTACAATCAGTAATTTGTTTCCATAATTTACACATAACAGTATATATTTCATTATGAAAAATAACAAAAACGATGCAAATACCTTGTAATGTAATTTCTCAAGAACGTCGTCTGATCGTTAGAACCGCATACTTACCATGATCAGTACAACTAAATGCATTGCGGGACTTGATTAATTCACCAGGCAGCGACTTATCATCAATAAAAGCATTTAAGGTTTTAAACCAAGTAGTTCTAATATAAGCTATTTTATACCAAAATATATACAGTACCAGTTGAACAAACAAAGTCAAAAGATACATGTAAAAATAATTTCCTTGTGAATCATGATGTCAGTGATTGATAAAAGTGGGGCAAAGGAATGACAATTGATTGGAGTATTGTGCCACAGGGACCTGATAATTTGTTACTGCTATATTTGGACCTAACCTAAGGTGTTCAGAGTAAATAGTTTAGGTCCAAATATAGCGGTTACAAATGATCATGTCCCTGTGTATTTCACACACATGGTATTTACTACAAAATGTCAACCATAAAAAAAAATGTATTTTAAAACCACAGGTGTTCTGCGGTGTATTTGGAATTTTTAAATGTGTATGTAGATATATCCAACAGATTTAGATAAAAAATATATATACACATTGTATATATGGTATAATTCTATGAAAGGTCGTTGTTTTACATGTACCTAGTGTACGATTGCATGGCTTTAAAATCCATTTAATGTCTGGGGTGTTTTTCTCATTATATTTTCATAATTTGCAGTTTCGCAGTTTTCAAGATACAACAGGTGTATCTCGGGAATTATATATTGTGCCATCCAGTTTAAGTAAGATAAAGAACAAAATGACGTTATGCAACAAGTATATATAGTTTCCTTTGAATAATAATTGGCGCATCTTGAAAATCGCTCAACGAACAGAATTAAACGTATTGTGAAAGAAATATTCAGGTAACTCTCTTTCATGTTTCAAATGTTTCAAAAAATGTAGAATTGCAGAAAATTAAGAGGGAAAAAGTTAACTGTGGACTTTAATTTGGCACGGGACTGTATAAATAGGTAGATAACATAATGTATCAAAATAGATCATTATAACAAAATGTATTTAGAATTTTTAAAAAATGTTTGAAAAAAGGATGGCGGTAGATTGGAAAACACTGACCTGACATTTCCATAATACAAAATGTTCTGCATTTACTACATTTACAACAATGATTAAGTGACGATCAATGTCAACGTAAAGGAACCAGAAGAAATGAATATCGTTCATGTGGAAATTTTGAAACCCTTATTTAATAAATGTTTGCAAAAATGTCTATTATTTGTAAAATTTGATGGATTAAAGAAATCAAGGGGCAATATTTATTAGGCTTCACATTAAAAAGTGCGTTTTTAGACATATCACATGGAACACTTTCACCTCAAAATATTACATATATATACATGTTTATTGTATAGTCGAAGGGATATATACACTTGGATACATTTGTAGCTACATCTATTAGGCAATGACACTTAAAAGTACAATAAAGGTAGGTTTTACTATGAATAGTCTTTGAGTCACGACTATGTTTAATACATCTCCCAGTCTCGATTGGTAGACCTGTGATAATTGGGTGTTCAAATTTTACCAAAAAATGTGTCACTTAATTTCCTTGTCCTAAGTTTAGAGAAAAAGAATCATAACACTCGCCCGTTTTGTGTCGCACCTGGTCACGTCAAGTATTAAGTACAAAGTAAACGTAATGTCCGCGACGTAGCCATTTCCTCTTGATCTGTGTCGTTAACGGAAACTTTTTGACCACACAGGTTACAAATTAATCTTTATTTTCATCATAGGAGCTTTCTAACACCTTTGCCTTTTCTTACCTCGAAAACTGACGGACACGGGAATCGATCGAATGAACACGTTTATAGCATGTTCTGATTAATTTGAGTGAATTAGATGTATATTGTTAAAAACAGAGTTATTGTACTTAAAAAAAACTGTAACGAAGAGTATACCTCTTCTTCGTTTAATTATATTACATTCTTTCAAAATTATTTCAGCGTAAACATGTGATTTGACACACAACAAGTGCGACATCGCGCGAAAAACTGCACAGTCTTGATACGAGAAATGTGCTCTTTTTGGTGTGAAGAGTTCAGCGGAAGTTTACGTCGGCAAGCTCAGCTGAGCTTGAGTTTAACCAGCCGAGCTTAAGTTTTACCAGCTTTGTGATACCCATTTTGCGGTAAATCTCAGCTGAGTTCAAACTTGAGATTTGAGCTTGAGATTTGAGAAAATGTTTGTGATAACAAAGCCAGGTCATGTCGGAATAAATGGAAATGGGAAGGTATATAGTGTTGCTTTAATCTACATCCGGAAAATATTATACTGCCTTATTCTGATCTTAAACATTTCATAGCAAATTAAATTAAAACGAATCGGCAAACTTAATGGTATGAAGAATTAAACTATAAATTATTTACAATCCAACCTAATGTGGGTTCATGTGAAACAAGTAGAGGTGACCGCAGAGAGGAAGTTGCCCTCTCGCGACTGAGCATATACCATACCTACACCACTCATAGCTACATTTTACGTAAGGAAGACCAGCATTATTGTCATGCATGTGATCAATCATTTTATGATTTAATACGCTAATTTCAAACAAATACGTGGCAAATTCTATAATGTTCCCTCTTTGCCTATTTGAACAGCTTCCGTACAATTAATATGTATAACACAATATTTACACTCGATTGATTTTTAAGATACGATATATGATACAACCAATTCGTGCTCTGTTGATGTATTTTTAAATATCTGACATATTTTGACCTATTAAGTTTCAGTTTTATATAATCGTATTTTTTTCTATGTTGGTGACTCGCACAAAAACAAAACTAAAAATAGAACTGCATTCACAAATAAAATATGTCTAACAAACATACATTACATGCATAAAGACCCTGTATCGCTCTTGATAATTACTCTCATCAATTTCATTACAGCCATGTCTTAATAAATTTCAAACCTGGCAAATGAAAAGAGCTTTAAATTTTCAAATTTGAAATTTACTCGTATATACATCTGTTATTTATGATAATTGGCAACTTTTTAGACTGATCGGATAAACAAAATGGCCGACAGGCAGCCATCTTGGATTTTGATAGTGAAAGTTTGTTATCGCTATTTCTCAAGAAGTACAAGAGGGATCCCCAATTTAACTTAGGACACAACAATAATTCCAGTAGTTAAAATTAAATAAATGCAGACAAACATATCAAACTCGAAATTATATAAAAAAAAAAAAAAATCATATAAAAGAGAAATGCTCAAAATCTCTGAATATTCTTAAACTGTAGATATAATACAATTTAGAGAACAGGGCCAAATTGTTCAAAAGGTGATTATCTTAATCAGTGACTAGCGCAAGTTTCAATTTTTGTATTCCTTTAAATCGCAACCATTCAATAAGTTACAACTTTCTAGATATCAACTATTTACTAGAGTGAATTTACATGCAAAATTGTGAGATTTTACCTTTTACTATTAACGGTTGAAAAATGTCGTTAAATAGTGATTAAGCTAACCAGCTTTTGAACAACTCGGCCTAGATCATGGCATGCTGCTGCGTTTATATTGTCACTTGTTCTATAGTAATTTTAACTCGCAGATAGTCACCAGGGCCTTCGTCTTGTTGTAGGTGTTTTTCGTAAATCACCAGCCAGCAACCACTTAGTTGACGCTTATAAAACCACCACTTTGTGGTATCATAAGGACATTATATTTAGCTTGCTTCTAATACAAACATCTTATTACTATTAAAATCTTATTTCAGAGCAATTTGGGGTAAAAAATCTTCTGTTATCTTTCCTCAAAGTACGGATATAAAGGCTCGATAAAACAGCTATTCATGCACATCATATGATCTAAACACTAAAGTAGCATTTATGATGGTATTTGTACTTAAGTGATATATGTTATGACTATTGACACTCTAGTGATCTTTACAATAAAATATGATATATTTTGAAGCCAATTTGTTCGATATAGATGTATCTCATTAATCCTTGACATATTTTAAGCCATTAAGTTTTGGTTTGATGTGTTTATTTTCATGAATACTCGTGTACAGTGTTGTTGGACCTAAATGACTACCATTATCGATGGGCCGTTAAAGAAAACAAAAACAATAACATCATGAGACTACATTTTAACCTAAAGGAAGGGGATCCTCATATAATCTCTTTTTAATTTCTTTCGTGCAATAAGTGCAAAAGCGTCAAAACGTATGTAATGTATGCATGGTAACACTTTAGATAGTTGTTTTTTTCTATCTATTTTCTTGTTCCCTATGGCCTTTCCTGACAATAATTTACGTTTGTCCTCACTTTTGGCTTTGGTGTTGAGCGTTCGTCCAGGTGAGGAAGGCAATGGGTTCTGTACCCATGCTGGGACATACCAACCTCCTTGCTAAACTTTGTCAGCTTTAAATGAGCATTGGAAAGGAGTGGTAAACCCATTTGTAAGTATAATATAACCTGGTGGAGCGTCATTTTTGCGTGTCCGTTTCAAGACATTTTATACAGTTAAAACGCACTATATCGTGCCCCTTAAGGTGCCCCATCATTGATCCATTGAAAGAAATCGTATATATTGGACCATGGCTGTTGCGAGAACCCCACACAAAACAAACCAAATACCATTGCTAGCAAGCTGTCGCCGACATAAACAGCTACGTGCAACGACTTGATAACATTACATTTCAAAAGTTCGAAGGTTATTGATCGAGTACTGCTTCATAAATATTTTATATACACGGCCAGTGACGAGACAGCAGTAAAAGTTTCCCACCTGTAGGTTCACAAAACGGGTACTTCGCTTTTGCTCAAGTGTCAGAAATGCTAAAATATCAGGTAGTAAACCAAACGATGCTTCGTTATCAAAGCGGCTTTATTTGTTCTACAGTTGGGAGCAAATTCAACTTGGTATCTAGTGCACTACGATGCACACGTAGTGGACAAGGAAGTACACTAGACACAAATTTGAAGTGCATTCGAGTTCATTTGAGTGTTAACACCAGTGCACAACGATGTGAATTCTAGTGCACCACAGTGTTTACCAAAGTTTAAAAGACTGAAGTACACATTTCAATAATTGTTTATAATACAAGAGATCCGAGAGGGATCTTGGCGCCCACCTTTGTACCATCTTCATTAGTTCTTTGTCAGTTCGATCTTTTCTCTTCTTTCCTCTAATCTGTTTGATCGAGTCATGTTAACAGTAAATGCACCTTGAGGTAACTTTTGATCTAAACTTAATACTGATGTGTATGAAAGCAAACCTTCAAAGTGAGTTTGTCATTTCACATATTTACTAGTACAGTACTTAAATTAAGTTAAAGAAATAGAATCGATCATTGCAATATGAGAAAGTTCTGTTTAGTTCTTCTTTTAATCCATTTTGTTTTTATGATCAGTCTCAAAATATAACATGCACAACGAGAGATCAAGGGGAACCTACATATAAAATTTGAGAAAGATCCCTCTCGTACTTCCCGAGAATCAGTACTTCACTATCAAAATCCAAGATGGCTGCCTGTCGGCCATGTTGTTTATCCGATCAGTCTCTAAAATTGCCCTGCACAGCTAGGAGTAAGGGGAACCTACATATAAAATTTAAGAAAGATCCCTCTAGTTCTTCCGGAGAAATAGCGGTAACAAACCTACACTATCAAAATTCAAGATGGCTGCCTGTCGGCCATGTTGTTTATCCGATCAGTCTCAAAAATTGCCCTGCACAAATAATGACCAAGGGGAACCTACATATAAAATTTTAAAAAGATCCCTCAAGTACTTCCCGAGAAATAGCGATAACAAACTTTCTATATCAAAATCAAAGATGGCTGCCTGTCGGCCATGTTGTTTATCCGATCAGTCTCAAATAAATGCCCTGCATAGCTAAGGACTAAGGGGAACCTACATTTAAATTTTGAGAAAGATCCCTTTGGTACTTCTTGAGAAATAGCGATAATAAACTTTCACAATCAAAATCCAATATGGCTGCCTGTCGGCCATGTTGTTTATCCGATCAGTCTCAAAAGTTGCCCTGCTCAGCTATGGACTAAGGGAAACGACGGACGGCGGACCACGGACGCAGGGTGATTTGAATAGCCCATCAGATGATGGTGGGCTAAAAATGAGTTCCTTCATGATATGGACATTGAAAGAGAAAGGAAAACAAACATTTTTTTCATAATATCGGTGCACATATTGTTTCTGATTACTTAAAATTTCAACTGAACATATACATGTACAAATCGAAAATTTCAACTGAGCATATGAAATAATAATATATAGAAATAAAGGCTTCATTTATTCTTGATAACATGTTGAGCATGAAGCATATCTTACATATGATCAAGATACAATGTATGATAAAATATACAGTATTTACAGCTTTAAGAAATATACCTGTATAAAATACAGGATAAGGGAGGAAATCATAAATCATTTCAAGTAAAACTGCTTTGCATATCTTTTAAATTCTATAAGTGAGGTACAATTTCTTATATGACTTGGAAAAAGAATCCATGTAAGGGATCCCTGATATATAAAAGATTTTTAAAAAATGTTTGTCTTATGACATGGCGAGTAAATCATTCAAATGTTGTGGAGCTATATTGTTAACTATCTTGTACATAAGAACTACTTGGTTTTATAAAAATCTTTTGTGAAAGGATAACCGATTTAGTTTTTTCGAACATATCAGAGGAAGGTATAGAAAAATCACATTTAAAATGTATTCTTACTGCTCTCTTTTGCAAGCGTTCTAATTTGACAATATTATTTTTTGAACTGTTACCCCAAATAGTAAAGCAGTAATCGAGATGTGGGTTTACAAAGCAATTATAAAAAGTTATACAAGATGACTGGCACAAGAAGGGTATCAAGTTTTTCATCTGAAAAATTGACATGATATCTTTTTACAGACATTTGTAAATTACATGTTCCACGAGTTTTGCTCACATTTTACAAAGCATGACTTGTTTTTTCTGTGTTAACACACATTTTGTTTTCATCACACCATTTTGACACTAACTTTGCGTCAGCATTGAGTTTTAAGGTCACCTGAGCTGTAGCTCAAAGAGACCTATTGCTATCCGTTTTCGTCCGTCGTCTTGCGTCCTGCGTCGTGCGTTAATATTTTACATTTTCAACTTAAGCTGAAATACTGGCT